CTGCTCAGGTCCCTTCCGACCCTACTAACTATGAAACTGCTTAACTACTATTTCAGCAGTTGCCAAATGCCTGTAGAGGGTACACTCTAAGGCTCACTGGAGGTCTCTGAGGATAGGCCTGGATGCCCTGCTCCCCCGTCTCCACCTGCACCATGCACGATGTCTGCGAAACCAAGATGGAATCCATTCCCAAGGCAGGGGCCACTGAAAGTAGATGTAGCCCAAGCACACGTCCATGTGAGGGGCTTTTTTAATACTGTATTCCCTATATGCTAAGGGAATCATGATGGCCATTTAAACAGTTTATTTTACAGAAAGTGTACTTATGTAACGGAACATGCAAAATGTAACCTGCTTTTAAAGTCTCTTTTTTGGTGGTCTCTGGGTGTTAACAGAGGTCATATTTGTTTTGAGTGAAACCATTTTGTCCCAGGCCAAGCTGCAAACATACAGACCTATGGGGAACTGGTCTAGGGCAACCCCCTCACATGTATGTGAAATAAAGTGTGCTAATAACACTTTTTTCCAGGATGTAGTGAAGTGTATTCTATATGGTTGTCACAGTCCAGTGTCCTGGGACAAGCAAATCACTGCTCTTGCCCCAACGCCAGTTGCTATTGAACTTGGGATGGCCACTAGCTTGCAAGGTAATTCTACTGCTCGGAGATGACAGGTCACAGGTAGACAAGCCATTCTGGCAGCTTGCAGATTTTAAGAAGTGTTTACAAATTGACTTCTTTACAAATCACAGCCTGCACATGCCACAGGTTGGCCACCCTGGCTCAGTTGATTAGGAAGATCAAACTGAGTTAAAAGAAGAGGTAGGGATGAACACTAGAAAAAATACCTTTCCTATAATACATAACTTATTCCAAAACACAGAACCTCTCTCTTTTAAGTTTTAGTGGCATGCAGTAGTGCCCTTTGAAAAAGCTTCACTAGAAAGATTACCTTATATCTACCAAGGAACACTCCAATGCTAGTTTTCTCATTCTCTTCAGATTTTCCTTAAGTTCTCTTAAACAGATGACATTCACTATTTCTTTTGTACCAAAATCAAGCAGCACTACCTGTTAAAAGACATGAGACTGAAGAGAGCTGAAAGAAACTGAAAAATTCTTGAGACAAGTTGTATCTTGTAAAATAAAACGACAATATTGTGCACATACAGCAATGTAAAACATACTTTTAAAGCTTAATTGAACACAATTCAAATTGTGCTGAAATTATCTTGTTTTCTTACTTTCAAGTGTAAGATTCAGATCTTTATTATTCTTTATTTTTATTGTTCAAACTGCTGCATGCACTAGACACTTTTCTTCCCAGAAGCATTCCCAGTTCCCCAGACTGTATCTTGAGTGCTTGATTTTGGAACCTGTTCCCTAACTTTGTTTTCTAAGGTGAGCCTCTTTTTCCTTTCCTCCTTTTGGATTTTGATCAGACTGTAATTTTCTTGCAATAACGCAATTAAATATTGCCAAAAGTATGAAAGTCAACATGAAAGTTGGAATATGCCTATTGTTTCTAAGAGATATTTTAAACTAAAATTTATATCAAAAGTATGATTTCTTTTAAACAACATTTACCTCTACAGTGGTGTCAGAAAGAACTCTGCTAATCTGGCCTCTTTGCCACTGTTTCATATCATATTTATGAATAGCACAATACATGCCAATTTCCCACTTCACTTGCTCAAATGTGGATTCTTCATAGATACCAGTCATCTTTTCCTGTAAACTGACATTCAAAAAACAGAGATAGTTATCCATTTTAGTCTGAAGTTAGGCAGAAGGCAGGGCACCTTTTAGATCAACTCATACAGCTACTACCTACAAAACTCATGACTCTGAACAAGCACAACCTATAAAAGGTACTCCTCTGCCCTGTCTTATTTCAAAACCATGAAATCCAGATTAACTTCTTCCATGACCAAAGATGTAGTGTCTCATATTATTTATCCAATCACTTTTAAAATATCATGAAGTAATGCTTCATTTACTGTGTACACAGTACTGACCCTAGTAACTATGTAGTGAAGTTACTGCATTATCATAATGAATTAATTGAATTCAAAGAACTCCATCCTTTTAGATAGAGCATTATTTCTAAGGCATTCTTAAGAAAATATATTTTGTCTTCCTACAGCACCATGAAACATAGCTATAAAAGAAATCCAGGTGGCATTTATACAAGTAGTAAGGGAAGGGACAAAAAAAGAAAGGCATAAAACAGTGATTAGCATAGCAGCTTACTGTGGACAGCTTATGACTGTATAAAATGGCTGTTGAATATTAATATAATTTTACAAAGTTGTTACATTAATATGCCTTAGCTGCTTCCAAGTTTTCACCTGTTGCATGTTGTAATTAGGTAAAATGACTGAATTTTACCAAAGGTACAACCCCAACCAGAGATCTGCAGAACTCTTGGAAAAAAATGTATTACAGTATGTTGTCAATGAATATTCAAACTGGTGATTGACATCATAGAAAGAATACAAATGAAAGAGCCAGAGTGCAGGTTTTTGGTCTTTTTGGTAATCTTCTTTGGCTCTGATCCTAATCACTGGAATCAACAGATTAATATTTTTTAATTGATTTGAAATGGAAGCTGGATCAGGCACTTAATTTCACATCATATAAATTTAACAAATTATTTTAAAGGGCAAATCTATTTTCTGTGCCAGTACATATTTTTTCCAACAAACAATAACCAAAAGCTCAACCCTTTCAAAACCAGTCTAAGTACTCAAATGCAAAAGGACAGCTGAAAATACAGTATTTTTGTTTTACGTGTTTGGCAGAAGGTATTCTCTAAGGGTCTTGCTATATGTGGCACTTTGAGCTGCTCAAATGTTAAATCGGTGTTAGTGCTAGCTCCGGTTTGGAGCAGTCACACCCTAAGGCTGAAAATCTTTTCTGACTGTCCCCCACTTGCACAGCTGTGACTTATCACTAGAGGGCTGGCAAACAAGGCTCTGACTAGGAGCTACAGCTGTGAGTTACTACTGCAGGGCTGGTAAACCAGGACATGCTTCTATCCCTGCTGTAGTTGGGGGTGGGAACATGAAGCTGGGATGTTAACACAGAGAGTTAATGGGATGGGGGTGGGTAATGGAAGGTAGAAAGGAAATGGGGGTGGGGGAAGGGTGGTGAAATGAAGGAAGTCAGCCACTGAAGGATAAAATAAAAAGAAGTAAAAACATTTTAAAAAAGAAATAAAGTAATAGTGAATTAAAAAAGGTCTTGTGTTTTAATAATTTGGGATTTGGACTTGGGGCATGGGGGTGCTGGCTGCGCTTCCTGGGGTGGTTGAGAGGTAGGAGTGGTGAGAGAAGTTAGTTCTGGGGAGTGACTGGCCCTGTCCCAAGAAGGAAGCCCCAGCTCATGGGGAGCCCCACCCTCGTTCCCTACCCAGTTTTGAACCCCACTCCCTGCTAGACCCCACTTCCTGTGACCCCGGCTAGCTGGCATGTGACCTGGAGACTGTTTGAATAGGGTTGCTTAAAACTAGTTTCAAATGTAAATGTGTGGACACTGAATCCTGGGATGCTGGAGAACTACAACTTGGGCGGCTCATCTGTGGGGAGTGGTCACACAATTAATGGAGCACAAGTTGGGTAACACGTATCAGAGAAACCTGCCCTGGAACGGTGTAACTTTAAGCCACCTAAAGTATGCTTAAAACTAGCTGAGATGTTAATGTGTGGACAATCCAGGGGTTAAGATAAGGGCAGGCAAAGTCCAGTCTGTGAGCCAAATTGGGCCTGGAGCAGACTCGATTTCCCAGCAGTCACTGCCCATGTCGCTATGGCCAGTTTCCATGGAGAACTCAGAAGTGGCAGGGCCACGACAGTGCAAAGCCAGGGTTACCATGGAAACCGGCCCCAGAAGTGCTGGCAGAGCACGCGGCTGGGCGGGTAACTGTTCTGAAGCTGGGATCTTGCAGCAGTGACAGCGTGGTTCACAGCTGGGGCAGAGCTGCGGTCCACTGCCCACACACCCCAGGCACAGACATGCAGGCAGCAGATTTGCAGCTCTCCCCTGGCTCCAGACCATACTGTCATGAATGCAAGATCCTAGCACCAACCACAGCCCGAGCTGCTCCCTGCCCAGCTGTGCGCCCTGCCAGCGCTGCTGGGGCTGGTCTCCATGGAAACCCTTGCCCTACACTGTCACAGCACTGCTGTTCCAGGGTTCTGCATGGAAACCAGCCACAGAGGCACAGGCAGAGGTTGCTGGGAAATGGAGTCCAACCACCAGCCAGATCTGTCATTTTGCCCATCCCTGGGTTAACAGCTCCAGGACACACCTAAAATTAATGTGTAACAAGGCCCTAAGGTACCACACAGCTCCAGCTGGCTCAGAGAGGCATAAACCACAGTTTACCTGACTCCAGTTCTCAACAAGCTACTGGGCCTTGCTACAGCCCCAGATGCCAATCATCCTCTTCACTGACACAGACATCATCATCATTGGACCAAGTAACACAAATCATAACACCTGAGGTTAACTGTCTTGTTCATCTGCTACAGTTAATACACTTATTACTTTAGCAGTGTCTGCTCCTCTTACCCTGTTCCCTTCTTTCTGCCAGTCCATTCCTAGCATTTGATGAAGCAAGTTGTCGTCTACAAATGGGGATGCCTCTCTGAACCAGATAGTCTCTAAGGGTGCTTGTACATGCGACAGGGGGTTAGTTCTCCAAAAAATAGAAACGGTGTTCTTTTAACTGGTGGGTTTTTAATTGTTTCGTTTAGAAACCTGCTATTTCAATTTAGGGACTTCTGTCATGTCACAGTGCATGATGGCGCCCCGTCAGCCAATTTCAGACTAACATGGCTAACCACCTCTGTTTTACCTGTATATTTTTTATTGTTTAGAATGAAAAGACACTAATACGAGCAATAAGATTATAACTACCTAAATGATTTAATACCTTTTCAGTAAGTGTTCAGATGACTGCCTCTGTATAAAGATCTTATGTGGGGATACCACATGACTAATCTGCACTTGTAGTTCTTTGTTGCAAAGTGATTCCAAATCATCGTTCTGTAGAGATTCTAAGTTTAAAGCCTCAAACAGTTTAGATTCTATAGATTCAGAAACTTCTTCTAGGTCAGGGTCCCACACTTCATTATGTTCTGTAGTAGTACTCTTCATATATCTGCAAGAAATTTAACAAGATACTGGAAAAACTTTGCACTGAGTTTTATACCCTCAACCCAAAATTGGTTAACGATCAATAGAAATAAAAGTGGAAGGTATATTATGATAACATAAGCTAAAGAAAAGGTCTTGTTAAAGGATACAGAGAAAACTCTAGTTCTGCTCAACACTTTATAGCAGGGGTTGGCAATTATTTTGGTTGGCGAGCCACTTCAGGAGTTTTGGTAAACTGTGGAGGGCCACACACACAAAATATTTCAGAAGATATTATTTTAACAAATTATAGATAAAACACAAACCATGTACTAAAAATCAAATATCTACTATAAAATTAATATATGTGGTTATATCAAACAACAATTTTGTCCCAATTTGTTTTTTTGAGTATTGTATACAGAGGCAATTGCATAGTAGCTCAAAATAAAGTCTTATTCTTACATATTGGGTGTGAGAGTCAGGGGTGTGGGGTGCGTATGCCTGTGTGCATGCGCATGGGGGATATCTATGCCTCCTCAGAGCTGGCCAGGGGTGCAGGGGGCTCATGCAGCAAAGCTTCCCTGGGCAGTGTGGTGCAGGTGCATTCTGCCCCCCAATCTGGCTAATGGCTGCCCTGAGGCACTCCACATAGGACTGAGCCCCACCTGCACCTGTCCCATGCCTGCTGACGGCACTGCCCTGGCCCCAGTTAGCATGCACAGCTTCCCAATGGGGCTTGCTTTAGCTGCTGCTGCAGCCACCCAGCTACTGCTCAGCCCCCCACCCCCACCCGAATCTCCATCAGCTCCGCCTCCTCTTGCCTCTGCTGTCTCTCTAGGCAGGGGGGAAACTACAGCCAGGTAGCCAGACAGCTTCTCCTCAGTGCATAGGGCTCTAGCTCCAAGCTGCCTTCCATCCACTCTGCCCACCTGGCATGAGGAACAGCCACATGTGGGCAGCTGAGCAGGTAGGGAGTGGCCAGGAGCTGGCACCCCCGGCAAGAGACACCTGGCTGTAGTTTCCCTCCTACCTGGAGTGGTGCAGAAGGGGCAGGAGGAGGAGCCACTGGAGGCGTGGGGGGGCAAGTAGTACCCAGGTGGCTGCAGCAGCACTGCTGTGTCCTTTGGCTGGGGCTGGGGCTTGGGCAGTGCCATTGGCAGGTATGGGGCAAGTATGGCAGGAGTGTCATGTAGCTTCCCCTGGGCAGAACTTGGTGGGGGCAGCTGCAGACCAGATACAATCAATTAGCAGGCTGTATCTAGCCTGTGGGCCATATTTTTGCCCACCCCTGCTTTATAGTCATTTCATACACTTGTTTTTGCCTGCCTTCCTCCTATTTTGTTCATAAAACAAGAATAGGATTCAAATACAAAAAACCATGAAAAAAATGAAATTATAATAACATATTAGGACTCTGTAATTTAAATAAAGACTACAGAGGCTATACTAGCTTCAAGTTTAAAAAACTGATTTCCAAGTGTACGAGTTTTCAAACTGCTAAGGGCAGAAGATATGAGTACTACCATTTGTTCAGGCATTTTTCAGCACTGTGGTAAAACTTCTGATGGGCTGCATGAGTTCCAGTATCTCCAAGGCATATATGGTGTGGCAAACCTTGGAAAATGTGCAGCTCCAGGAATTGCAAAACACAGAGCTCTAGAGTTATATTATTAATGGTTGGTTAAAGTAAGTAAAAAAAAATATTTTATTTATATCTGTTTAAAATGAGGCTGAATATCAAATTTAGGCTGAACTGTGATATCAGGAGAGATAGTGGAACACAAACAGACAACAAAACCAGAAGGACATCCAGTACTAATCTGCCAAGATCAAGTCATGCTTCACCAACTTGATCTCTTGTGTGGATGGGGGCAGAACACTGGATTATACATACCAGACTTTATTTAGGTTTTTGTTACTGACTCCCGTGATTTTTTGCATAAATAAGCAAAGGAAATAGAACTGAAACTGCTCTAATGTGGGTGCATGACTGGTCGTAGTGACCACTGGCTCAATTTCTAAGTGGAAGAAGGTATCAAGTAGGGTTCTTCATGGCTCTATCCTTGGTCTCATATTGTCCAGTACCTTCATTAAGTGACTTGGAGGAGGGAACTACAACAATTTTAAACATAGTAAATTTGCAGATGATCTCAAGCATGGTGGGGTAGTATACATTTCTGAGGACAGGATCAGAATTCAAAGTTACGCTGAAATTCAATAAGTAAAAGTAAGCACAGCACTTAGAGTGGAGCAAACTTGGGAATTGCTGGCTAGAATGCGGCACTGCTGAAAAGCTTTTTAGCGAATTGCAAATGCTCTACAAGTAAAACAGCATAATACCACTGCAAAAAGCCAGTAACAGGAGTGTCATGGGAAAGAATTTTTCTATTCTCCTGAGCCACGGTGAGACTTAATTTTGAGTAATGTGTCCAGTTTCCAAAAACACACTTCAAAAAAGACTTGGACAAATTGGTAAATCTGGAGGAGATCAACAAAAATCTGTTAGGTATCTAGACAGAATCCCAAAATGGGATTACCTAACTCTGGAGAAGAGGAGACCGAATGATAATCCTGCAAAGTTAAAGCTATACATGAAGACTTTGCAGAAACTGGGCCATGGTTACTACCAAGCAACAAACTTAAACAGAAATACTACTCCCAACATGGAAGCCTGACAGATCAGATTATATATGGTAAGGTAGGTAGATTTAAAAAGCAATGATATGATAGTTGAATACTTTATCCATCAGCAGATCTCAGCCAGCAATGCCACAAAATTTTCAAGCAAGCCAAAAAGTCTTTCTTACTGATAAAGGTTAGTCAACGAGCCTTTCTGGCTATTATCTAGCTTTGTATGAAGTACAAAACCACTGCAGTCTACTGAAGACCTATGAAGACAGAGTTAGGTGTCCACCAACAAGCAATATGATGTAGAATTGGGGTGCCATGGGACAGCTGTTGCCCCATTTAAGAGGTCATTTATAATCCTTCTCTTCTGATTTATCAGCAAGATGCAATGGACATTTAAAGTTTTTTAAACAGCAGCTGTAGATAGCCAATTAATATGCATCTAACTTGGGTATCAAGTCACATTGAGAGCAATTCTAAAGCATTTACCTTTCAAAATTTAAATTAGAAAATGTTGGCAGTAATACTTAGATGTTTACTGACATTCTAGCATGCTATTTGACTTTTTTTTGCTGCAACAAGACTACGCTGTTGACTGATCCCCTATAATCCCAAACTCCTTTTTCTCCAGCCTAACCTGTCATTCCCCAATTTGCATGTGCACATCTGATTCTTTCATCCTATGTTTAGTACTTTATGTTTCTGTTTATTAAATTTCATTGGATTAATTTCAGATCATTTCTCCAGTTTAAACGTCTTTCTGAATCCCAGTTCTATTCTACAAAGTGTCTACTACCCAAAGCTACTTAGCATTATCTGCAGAGCTCTGGCTGGGCAGTGGCAGGGCACTGGGGATGAGCAGTGATGAAGATATGCATTCAGCTAGAGCTCTGAACTTCTGTATACCCCCTGGCTCCATGTGGATGCATGCTCCCAGCTCTGTGCTGCCTAAATGCCCCGGCACTGCTGACTAGATAGAGTAGTGTGCCACTGGCAGAGCTGGGGGTATGCAGCTGCATGCAGTCATAATCATGCAGTTGCACACCCCTAGCTCCAGGCCGCTGCCCAGTAGAATGGAACTTGATCCAGTTGGCAGTGCCATGAGTATGCAGCAGCACAGAGCCAAGGGCAAACACCACTAATCCAGCAGACTACTGGTGGGCCAGGTACAATGGTTCTACAGGCCATGTTTGGCATCCTTGACTTAAAGCCTCCTGTGCTTTTCTGTTCCCCCTTGGTGTTCACCATGGCTTTTAGCACCACCCAGTAAACAGAGTGGGGGGGGGGAGGGTGATGGGAAGGGAATGGAGCAGCAGGGGATAAGTGGGGAAACTGGCAGCCTATGACTGCAGCCTGGTCACAAGCACCTGGCCCACCACTCTACATGGCTGCTGATGCCTGTTCTAAGCTGATTATCTACTTTATCCTTACTGCTAAACCATGCTAGCTGTATCTCAATTTGTGCATTGGCCTTCCTGACTTTCTCCCTACATACCTATGCTATACTCTTGAACTCTTCTTTAGTAACATGAACAAGTTTTCATTTTTATGAAAATTGTTGCTAAGTTTCAACTCACTGAAGAGTCTGCTGGTTATCTTAGCCAGTCTCTTGCTGCATTTCCTGCCGTTCCTTTGCAATTAGCTGATTTAAGAAGGAAGAGGAGGAATTTTTCACTCTGTTAGGAGTACCCAAAAATTTTTGTTAGGAAATATAAATCTCCAGATTTATCATTTATGTTCAACTTCATTGGCATAAGGAAAGTATTTCCACTTTCAGTTGTATCATCCAGATTACATGTGACAAGTCCAATCCTTGATGGTCAAATACTATACTTGCATCACAAGTTACACAAACACACACTCACCCACCCAACCAAATTACAGTAACTAATAAAGTGTAGATTAAGCACAAAATACTTGCCCAGGTACATAAGATGCCAGATCTTCTTCAACTAATTGGCTGTTAACACTACAGGATCTCTTTCCAAGCACATTTGAAGAAGAGTCAAATAGTTCGACACACAACACATCATTTTGCAATATGCCTACAAATAAAAGTTTTATTTTTAATATTGTATCTATTTGAGGACAATATGGAAAATGCTGGCTGTCTGGGAAATAAGCAAACACTTTAGAAACAGGAAATATTTTATGAACAACATAAATCTATGCAGATCTGATTGGTAAAATAAGTTTTATTTAGTTTGTTAAATAACTTCTAACTTCATACAGATCTATATTCATTAAGGTCAGTTTTTGGTGGCTAAATGACAACAAATTGTATGTCAACATAGAAAACTATTACTCCATTTAATTGGCAGATTCCAAAATCTTTGTGCTGTAGCATGGCAAAACATGGCAACTGAAAAATCCACAAAAACAGTGATTTGGAAAAAATTTAACAGCATGGACACTACTGACCTTTTCTACAGGTGCTAGTCATCCATAGGTTCCAGTGACATCAGCTGGAGCTCTGGATACCTAGTACCTCTGCAATCAAGCCTTACTGTTATTAATTTAGACCAGAATGTCTATACCATTTAATACTTACGGTACCTGGAAGAAATAGGGAACATAAAAGCTGGTGCATTTTGGTTTTTAAGCCCATTAAATTTCCTTCCAATTATATTTGGCAACTTTCACCTAGACCACCTCCTACAATTACTAAGGTTTCCTAGCAAAAAGGCAACTCTCTAAACAAGACTATGAAAGTGTAAACACTGCATAATGGATTTCTCTCAGTATCAGAACATATTTACTTTATAATGTTATAATCAAAATGTGCATTCTTTTATTAAATTAGAAATATTACGTAAGAGAGAGAGATACTCAGTTTGTCACTTACTAACAACTGAGCATGCCATGGATTTATCACAAGTCATTTCTTCAAATCTTTCCTTTGCTTTGCTACTCCATTCATTTGCTCCTTTGTAGGGTTCAATATAAGCCAGCTTAGTCCTTATGGCCTAAGTAATAAATCAGATTAGATGCCCACTGTCATTCATGCACAGTATCCACTTCGGCTCAAATTACTAATTTGGTCATGTATGTGCAGAGGGGAGTAAGGAGGCATATAAGGCTCCCTTAGTCTCCTGGGCGGACTACATGTATTATAGGTCACAATGTAAGGAGGGTCGTTGCACGGAGGACAATGTTCTGAACAGACACAAACTTCGTTACATTTTAAAATACAATTCCTATGACAAACGCCCATTTTTTTCTGAAAGGCATTGGTTAGTCTAATTCTGACAAACACAACTTAATAAGGAAGAAAGTCTATTTATTCTATGAATGAATTGTGAGCTAAGTCTTTCGGGTTGGTTACTTTTCCTGCTTTTGACAAGACAGGCAAGAACGACAGAAACGCATTCAGCAGCAGTAGAATGAGAGACTTTTTGCCAGTCACCGTAAAATAAACTGCAGTTAGTCATGAATAGATACTCTGGCCATTGATGCTGTACAAGTTTCCCTTGCCAACCACAGGTGTTAAGTTCCAGAAAGTTCCTATGGTTGGCAAAACTGCGGTTGGTAAAACTGCAGGCTTATGGGGAAAATGGGGTTAGGGACTTAAATACTATACAGTATAATGTATAAAAATAATTTTTACTTACCTTTAATACAGACGGTGGTCAACTGGGCATAAGTATACCCCTAGGTGTACTTGGACAGATTATAGGGGGCATGCATTGGCAGGCAGGGACAAAGCACACCCAGGGTGTAGTGGCAGTGTCTCCCCCGGTGTGTTCGCCTCTTACCCAGAGGAGGGAAAGGGTAACGGGAGGAGAGGGATGAGCTAGCTGGCCCCACCACGGTGCTTCCCTGCCCACACCCGTCTGAATGGCGGAGGGGGGTGTTTTGTGCCTGCCTCTGGCAGCGCGTGATTGGCTGGTCTGCCTGGTCGGGCTGGGTCATCAGACAATCCGAGCCTGGCAGCAGCAAGAGCCGCCCACCCGCTTCCCTGGATGACCCGGCCTGGCCTGCTGTTTTCTGCCACTTTGTTTTCCTCCCCCGCAACCTGGTGTGGCAGGGAGCAGAGAAGCCATGCAGGGATCTCCTCATCCGCTGCTGCTTGCCCTGCATTGCCCTGGCAATGCACCTCCTGCAAGCAAAGCTGCACTAAGGGCTGATGTGTGGCCATGGAAAACCGTGGTTGCTCAAAACTGTATTCCATGGTAGCCAAAATGGTATATGGAATATTAACCATGGATACTCAAAACCATGGTTGGCAAGGGAAACCAGTATTATATTACATTTTAAACAGAACTCCTGTTTCAATCAGTGCTCAGGATGGACTCTGCTAATTAAACAAGTGAGGGTAGAAAGCCAGAACTGCAGACTGTGCAGACAACAGGAACGCTATCTTGAGCCAGTAGAGTTCCTCTTAATCATCTAAGGAGTTCTGTGCAGTTTCCTTTATGCCATCTGTGGAGTGCACAAGGAGAAGCAGGAACTGTGTGCTCACCAGTACTCTGGATGGCAAACAAAACATTTCAAAGCTCAAATACCTGCCCAAACAAATGCATGCTGACTGTGGAATGTGCATATGCACAAAAACTTGGCAAAAGTATATTATCCTCCCTATTTACAGAGGATAAACTTGGAACCAAAGTTTTAAAGCTGAAATTGTCTTTAGATAATTCACTAAATTTGGACATCCAATTTGAAAATGCTAGCATTTGATAGTACTTCATATGTTCAGAACAAAGCTTCCATCAATTTTATTGCTGAGAGCACTCTGCATTTTTGCAAGTCAGGCCTTAGGCATCTACAGTTGCTCCCACACGGCAGCCAAAATACTATCATTTAGGTCTAATGCATGGTGGTATCTCAACATAACAGATGCAAAAAGTTTTGCCCAGGGACAAGATGGACTGTAACTTTGTTCTCCAAGAAGAGCAAACCTTTTTAGCTGAAATTTCCATCTACCTGAAAAAATTATTCTGGGGAAGAAAGTTAAAATTGACCGAGAACAGAGTCTTACACAAGTGTTTTTGGTCACCTTTAAGATGCGGGTCTTTAAGAGGAGGCTTGATGTCTACCTAGCTGGGATCATTTAAGCCCAGTTTTTTCTCCTGCCCTGGCAGGGGGTTGGACTTGAAGATCTATAAGGTCCCTTCCGACCCTACTTCTGTGATTCTATGATGCTGCTACCTCCGTTGGCTCTCATAGGTTAAAAGACCACCATGAAATCGAGGGCCAAATTTACTGAAAACCTTTTGTATATACTCTAACTATAAAAGAGCATCTAAAATTAAAGTGACAACAATTTTAGGATATTCCCCCTCTCTTTCTGGTTTAGCTGCATTATTTAACCCAGTCTATGCCATCAGTTTAGCCATTTTCTATAGTCCCTTTAGGGACTTCATGTAGATAATCAAAGAGCAGAAAAAAACCCTTGACATGTTTTAAAGAATTTTTGCCCCACCAAACACTGAGGATGTATCATTTAAAAAAGAAGAGTCCTTTACTGAATACTGGATAATAATGATCAAGAAAATTTAAGTTGAGAAGGTCTCCATAGAACAGGTGAAGATATTTGAAAATTGACATTTTTGTTTTAAAAAAATCCAATTTAAAAAATAAGCAGCATTAAGAACAAATATAAATGCTAGTTTTTCATGCCATTTGTACCCAAAGCATTTTCAAAGTGTTACACTGAAGTATGTGAATAGAAACTCAAGCAAGTAAGCCAAGAGCTTCCGACTTGAATAATTTGACCTTCACTTCCTTAAACAGATTAAGAAATCTTTGTGAGTCTGTTACTTTTAGCCTTTTTCATACAAAGAGCAACCTTTTAACTCACCTTTGCTGGATGGGTCAAAAACTCATCTTTTATTTTACGCATTTCTTTAAGAGTTATTTTGGCAGTGTTGCCAAAGTCAACATATTTAACCTCAATTTCTTGATTCCCTGGCAAACCTTCGGAGAAAACACAGTATCACGTAAACAAATTAGACAATATTTACTTTCAAAACTTTTCTGGTATAAATATTAAAACACGGAGTACCAGCGATTCAAAATTAATCTTTTGCACCATATTTGAAATAAATCATAGAGATTCCCAATTCACAGCCTTGAACAAGCTCCAGATTCCCCCAGCTCAGGGAAAACTCTAGGTGACACAAAGTTAATGTAGGTATAAAGAGAAGATGGTAGAATCTTGTGTGTAAAGGTAGATGAGGCATATGACTAAAAGACCATATAATCACTAATGAACCATGTATCAGCAAGGGATTGCTGTAGCTGATATACAGTTTATAGTAGCCCCAAAAATGTTGGAGACAAATTGGTTACCTAATGTTCCTAGAAGCAGAGGACTATCACTACTTATTCTGTGACTCTCCCACATAACTATTCCATTTGTTCCCCGGGGTCAACAGCTCAGGAGGCTCCTTCCAGTTCAATGTTCCTGTATGCTGCACCCACCCAGCAAAGAACAGGCATAGCAGAGGATGACTGATTTGTTCATTTGGTTATGACTATTACATTGATTATTGAGCTGCCACTATACATTTATAGTGAAATGAATTTTCTGATCTAGTGTTTTTAGAAATAAATACACAAAGAGGAATTTTTAGCAAAACAGGATAAAGCTTTATGAATTTGCATGCTTAAAACTTGTGAGGCTGACTCTTAATTGTGGTAGTTACTTTTAACATTGGCAGCAATAAATATTGTCATTTACTGGACTATAATTTATGTCCACTAGCTCACTTTGAGCAAATGCCACTTCTGATGCTGCATGCCACTGTTAATAATTAGTACTTTGCTGACTTACTAATAACTTGTGCTCTGTACCAATCACCATCTTCAAACTTTGCTATGCAGGGTTGGCCTTGGATTGGACAGAGGATTTCTAAGTTTTCACCGTCTTCATTTTTATATACTTCCTCAATTCTCTTCAGAAGCATTACTAAGTCAAGACTTTCTAGCTAAAATAATAAAACAAAAAAACAGCACGGCAATAGACATATCAGAATAAGTCAATCATCAATATTTAAAATATTTTGGGTTTCAGGAATTGTAACTTGCAGTTCCAAAGGGAGCATGAACACACAGACACCCCCAAACAACATTCCAGCTTTTGCACGCTACTCTCAAAATTAGATTGAAAGAGATTTGACACGCTATTTTCTAGTACCACATCACCACACTGCATGCAATATATATAACTGATGCAAACCTAGAGGGGGTATGAAGGCAATGTTCCTTCTACATTGACAGATGTACCAGTGCCACATAATTTCTCTCTTTGTTTCCAAGTAGAACAGAGAGGATGATACAGAAGTCCTATGCATGAGAGATGAGCAGACCATCTCAAAGTGCACTGTCCTCCTCTGACTACATTTGTTAGTAAAGAACTCGCATAGGACCCTTTTTAGGTCCTTCAAATTAGGTGGCTGGAACTCCAGATAAACAATGAAAAATCCACATAGCAGCTCAACAGTTTTACCATACAGGCAAAATCCTTTCTAGACCCCAAACAAGACTGGGTATCAACTTCAGTCTCAGCATCATATAGGAAAAGCAGATAAGGTAGATAAAAAGGTTAGAAAGGAGCCTCCCTTTTTATTGGCAACAAGAACAGGAACAGCAATGGGATAGGAGAAAAAAAAAGGGAGGGATTGGGCCACCACTTTTTCTCCAAAAATATAAATGTACCTCAAAGGAGCAAGGTAAACACTTTATTAGCTTGGTATGCTCCCATCCTTCTTCCTTTCCCTTCTTTGTTAATATTATGGCAGAATCCAGGGAGCACAGTTAAAACTAAAACCCCACTGTGTCTGTACAGTACCTAACATATATCTGCCTATAATAATAAAAATTTCTTATAAAAACTGGTAATAACGTATATCAATTGATTAATGAAATAACCTGTTCCGTAGTTTAACACTGGATTACTGAGAAGCCATTTTTTTCAATAAGATTAATGGATTTTAATATGCCACATCTCTAAACTTACCAACTGAAGGTAGAAATCATTAGGACTATTGACATGACAAACCACAATGGAGACGTCTTCCCTTTCTTGGGGTAATGTAGGTGGACTATATTGCAAAACCATTTTATCTTCTGGTTGACCAGGAAGTGATCTAAACCTAATGAGAATAATGTCCCTGAATAAATTCTGTCAATAAGTTAGTTGTGGAAGTATCACTTTCATGTAGAATATTCTATGGCAGTGCCAAGACCTCTTATTCTACATTTACCTGGAATCTGCCATTAACTGGCACGCGTTTGAGTTCCAATACAATACTGCTTTGGAGGAACAGCACTTGAACTTTGTTTGTGGTGCTCAGAAACAAATTTTCTAATACCTTTTCTGTCAAAAGGGTAACATCTTGTGAGATCTGTGTGACAGCTTCCCCTTCAAAAGCTTTTCAAATGACAATCTGTACTGGCTTTTTTTTGTTTTATGGAAAGGGATGTACCTAAATACCTTAGACAGTTTAGAGGTGAAAGACAGCTTTTACTGTTTGAAAAAAGAAAGAGTATTTCTTTGAAGAGTTTATTTTTTCTTAAGAGAAAGTTACCATTGTAGGATGGTATTTACCAGTGGATAAGACATCTCCCACTGATCTTCCCCCTCTCATCCTGACAGCTAATGTCCACAAGGGTCAAAACAAATTACAGCTAGTCACAAAGTCCTATATTTTTAGTGCGTGTCAAATGTTTTATACGCAAACAGCACAAGACACATAATAACCACTCAAATCCTAAGAAAACTTACTTCTAAGTCAGACTCTTGAGAATAGAATTGCCATTTTAGATTAAGCAATTAGAATAATTATCCAAAAGATCTACACATTTATAAATGTAGGAATTCGGAATGCAAAAATTTAAGGAAGCCAACTGCTAGACTTTAACTAATGTTGCTCACATGTTTAAATTTAAACAATTGCACTTGAAACAAGTAGCCTAAATGAGCTGCTATGGCATTTTTTAGAATAGAAATATTTGAAATCCATTTTTGATGGCACATACCTTGCTAACTCCAAAAAAACTAATGCATCCCTGAGAGACACCGGCATATCACTACTTATTTTATTAGCTGGTGGTTTCTGCAGATCTACAATGAGCACACCGTCCTCTTCTCTAAACACCTTCATTAGAACAGCTTTGTGATTTACCATTCTCAGAAATTCAGTCTTTGCTTCTTCCTCCCACCTTTCATTCTATATGAAGGGGAGGGGGCGAAGAGAGAAAAAAAAAAATCAGTACCATCCAAATATTACACTCAGAAGGATACACTGGATCCACTGATGTTAGAGGAAAAAGCCTCAATTTACTTTAAGGTACCCAGGTGTTCACCCATACGTAAGAGACAAAACAGAACAAAAAACCTTTGCCAAATAAATTAGCTCAAAAACAAAAATCCCTTAAAAAGGCCACACAACATTGGCTCAGTTGAAGCAACCTATGTAAAACACAAACAGTGCAACTTGACTTAAACTTAAAATCAAAGTTCAGTTATTTATGGTTAAACAATTAAACTAACTACCATTTCAAACTGCTGTAAGGACAAGTGACAGTAACAAGATTATAGTTCTAGGTATTGAAATCCAATCTGTAAAAAAAATAAAACATTTAAAAAAAACGGGCTCCAGTATATTCATAGCAACAACTAATTTACTATCTGTTGATTATTTTAAATAGTGCTTCAATAAAAAAGTTTGATCTTTTTAGTAGTTTTTGCCTCAATGTTTTGAATCGCTGTTTAAGAGATACAAGCAGGCAGAGAACATTTCATTCAAATATATGAGCTGTCTTTGGCTATTTATTCTATCAGCATAATACTAGCTGAAAATTTCTGCCATTTAAAAGCACCTAGAGTAACATGGGTAGAAAGGTGGAGATGTTTTGAAAGAGATAACTGTCCCTTTTTGAAATACAGGCAGTCCTCAACTTACAATGTTTCAAGTTACAACATTTTGCACTTACAACTTTTATAAATTGACACCCTGTTTCAACTTTACAACATCAGTTTAAACTTTACAATGCTTGATCCAATGCAATGCCATGCTAGTAAACAAGTTCACTGCGCCACCAATCTGTCCAAACTTCCTTGGACACTTTCTTTAAGAGAGCAGACAAGACTCCAGAAAAACCTGAAGTCAAGACTCTTGAGAAGACTCCAGCCAGACTCTTGTGAAGACTCTAGCCCAGAGCCCATCAAAAAGCCCAGTCACCTCAAAGAAAACTGAGTTACAACGTTTCGACTTAAGGCGCAGTTTTCAGGAACCAATTGTGTCGTAAGTCCAAGGACTGCCTGTACTGCAAAAGTGAGGATAACACAAATAAAGTGACAAGTGAAGAAAGTATCCCTGGGATTATGTGATTTGCTTAAGAAATAGATTCTATTTATGAAAGAGAGTGTTTTTTGGGGATATATCTTTGCCAAAAATATATCAGACAGCCAAAGAACTGGTCTGTTGACCCCATACTTCTCTTTTGGAAGGAAAAAAATTCCAGAAATTCCCAAACTAATCAAATAAATCTGCTGTTGTCATAAAGTCTTTATGACAAAAACAATTACTTTAAAATTATTTTTAAGATACGTCCACCTTTCTAAGATTATTTGCTAAACTGATATGGTATTTAAATATTTAATTACAACTTCTATAGACTTTATAAGCTTTTATATGATAAGAAAAACTGATTAGAAGAAATTTTCTAAAAATATTAAATAGTTCTTTCTTACTGAATTTTTGGGAACAATGTCCTTCAATGAGCACTGTACTGCTAAAGGATGAATAGCCCCAAGTTGTGGCTCCATACTTGGATCAGGCTTCCTTATAAGCAGACACAAGTCATTCACTATTAAATTCTGTACAGCAACGTGTTCTGACTTCAGCACAGGGACATCACCAGTCCTAGTGGGAACATAACGACAATAAAAAAATGCAGTATTTTATTTCTGAAAACAAGTTCTTAAAGTATCAAAGTGCATATTTGGAGAAGTGCATGAGGAATGGGCTCTTATTTTCTAAACTATTTAACTCCTTCAACTACAATCCCAAGGACTGTGACCAAGTAAAGGCTATTTATAAAAAGAAGTTTCTTATCAAAGAGGAATCATCATTTTGGGCCTGTAACAATACAAGCACTTGCCTCATTTTTGCCAAACAGTAGACAATATTATCCTTTCTGAAGATGGGAAAACCAAGGCAGAGAAATTATTGGCCCAAATTCAGTTACCAGAACAAGGAACAAAGCACTCTGAAACCCTGCCACCAGGCTCTTTATTCAGATCAGTACTCAAGTACAGTAATGTAAAACAGACCAGAGATTTATCTGTTCATAATTTCTAGCTAATGGAGAGTATTTTCCACTGACAATTATGAGAAATGCAGTGGACCTGCTCAGAAAATATGAATCTGCCCTCCAAAATCATGAAGTTATCTTGAAATGATGAATTTTTCTTAAAAGTACTTTTTGAAATGTTATCTTCTGACTTTTGAGCCATTAGATTGCACTTTGGTCACATTTCAAGCTTTTCTTTGTAATCACGATGGCTAAAAACTTATTTAAATATTAAAGCTAAGATTTTAATACAGTCATGCTTCAAGGAGCAAGCACTTAAGCAACATACCAATTATTGTGATGATGATGATAGGCGATCACTCGCCAACAAGTAAGATTGTCTTCCAAGCATCTTAATAGTGAGTCCGCAGGTGGCTCTGTAGCCCAATTCTAGATCCACATGTCTTGTCGCAGTGAGGACAGGTGTTTCCAGGAGGGATGGGCACTGTGTTGCTGCATTGGATGTTCTGATGTTCTTTTTGCCTGTTCCTCTTTTCCTCTTTTGCCTGTTGACGAACTGTTTTGAAGTGTTGAGGTCCCTCCCAAAGAGCCTTCCTCCATTTTGGTCAGTCCTGAGTAAGGGTCTCTCAACTGTTGCTATCAATGTTACACCTCTTCATGTTTGCCTTCGGGGGAGCATCCACACAAGCGTGCACGTGTGTCTTGCAGCGTCTCAAAGCCCTTTGAGATGCTGCAAGAGGCACATGCAGGGCAAAATTAGACCCCTAGATATCCAGGGGTCAAAAAAAACCATGGAGGAAAAAAGTGGTGCAAGGAACCATCCTGGACCATACCATGAGGCAACTGGAGGCTTGGTCCTCCACAGAGATGCTCTGGTAGGCTGCCAGAGCCTCTCTGAAGCACGCTGCCTGCAGCAACTGGGATCTGGGCTCTGTGCCAGGTAAGTAAGGGGTAGGGGGAGCTGGAGGAGTGGGGAGGACTACTGAGGGTGCAGAAGATTATGTGGGGGACAGCTTCCCTCCTTACTCAGCTACAGCTGCACCCCCTGCTCAGCCTGTGCCCAGTTCCAACCCCACAGCTCGTCTCCCTGCTCAGCTCCAACCTCCTCGCTCAGCCCATGCCTGGCTCCAGCTCCCCCACTTGACCTGTGGCCAGGTGCAGCCCCCTACCCGTCTCCTGCCCCCTGCTGAGCTCCAGCCCCACCCCCACTCAGCCCATGGCTGGCTGTGGCCTGCTTGCTTCCCCCACAACTAGCTCCAACCTCCCCCCGCCTGCAGCTTACCAGCAACAGCAGCTGCGCTCTTGGCTTCATGGCACAGCCCCCTTGCATGGCAGGGGGCAGTGCTGTTTGGCCTTAGCCATCAGGTATCCACGTGGCCTTTGCCACAGCGCATAGCTGCAGCTCAGCTCAGAGCGGTGCGGGGCTGTGTGCTTTTGGGCAGCTCTGGGCTGTCACCTGGGGCTGAGTGCTGCTTGCATGGACAGCCAGCCATACTGGCCCACGTACTGCATGCATGAGCCCTGCACCATCCAGCTTCTGTGCATGCAGGACCCAGGCTGGTGTGGCCAGTGGTCCCTGTGAACAGTGTGCAGCACCAAGTGACAGCTCAGAGCTGCCCAAAAGCACATGGCTCTGTGCTACGCTGAGTTGGTCCGCAGCAGTGCGCTGTGGCAGAGGCCACGCAGATACCTGGTGGTGGGGGCCGAGCTGTGCTGCCCCTCGCTGTGCAGGGGGGCTGTGCCACGAGGCCAAGAGTGCAGCTGCTGTTGCTGTTAAGCTGTGAGGACATTTGAGCTCTGTGAGGGGACAGCAAGGAGGCTGCAGCTGAGCAGGGAGCATGCCGGGAGTCTGCCGCCGGGTGGGGGGCAAGCAAGTAGGCCACAACCAGCTGTGGGCTGAGCAGAAGCTGAGTGAGGAGGCTGCCAGGGAGGGGAGCAGGGGGCTGCATCCAGCTGCAGGCCAAGCCAGGGGGCAGAAGCCAGGTGCAGGCCAAGTGAGGAGGCTGAAGCCGAGAAGGGAGGCGAGCAGGGGAGTTGGAGCCGGGCATGGGCTAAGCAGGGGGCTGTACCTGAGCAGGAAGGTGAGCAGGGGCTGTACCCTGCTGCAGGCTGGAGCCAAGCAGGGAGGCGAGCAGGGGGCTACACCTGGCCATGGGCCAAGCAGGGGGGGCTAGAGCCAGGTGCAGACAAAGTGAGAAGGCTGTAGCTGACCAGAGAGGTGAGTGGCGGGGGCTGTACTTGGCTGTAGGCTGATCAGGGGGCTGGAGCCACGCGGGGGGGGGGA